TAAAAAATATTTGTATTATAAACAAATAACCGTTAGAGCAAAATACCAATAAAGTAAAGGTGAAATGAAGACAGGGTAGATTTCCAACCAAAACCTTACGATTTACATGATTGTAAATTGTTGGTCTGTTTTGTTTTTTTTTTTACCCAGACATTCCCTATTGGCTGACCTATTCCCAGTTCACTTTTAAAAAAAAAGTTTCTAAGCACTTAAATGCTTCACTGTCCTCTATCAACTATTGATTTTGCTGATTCCTCTCCTTTCATTACTTGGAATCCCTGGGCACTCAGTTAATGGTTCTTTATTGACTGAGGGCCACTCTTACCTCAGTTGCCTCCAACTTACAAAACTTCAAGTAATTCTTTATTTCCAAATACACAATCAATGACAATGCTCAACGGAGTTGATACCCATACCCAATGAGGAAAAAAAAAACAACAAAAGAAAACAAAGTAATGGTATATATGATCTGCTTTGCTAGTCTAACTTCCCATTTCTTTCAATGATTTTACAATTATTCACTCTTAAATTAGAAATCTTGGGATGATTTCCTCTTCTTCATGTTATAACTGTCAGGAATTCTCAGGTGGCTCAGAGTCAAGAAGACCTGAATTCAAATCTGGACTCAACATTTACTAGCTCTGTGACCCTGAGCAAGTCATTTAACCTCTGTTTGCCTCAGTTTCATCATCTGTAAAATCAGATAATAATAGTACCTAACTCCCATAGTTGTTCTGAGGAGCAAATGAGATAATAATTGTAAAGAGCTTAGCACAGTGTCTGGCACATAGTAAGTGCTATATAAATGTTAGCTATTATTATTATTATTATTAATCTCATAATTTTCATTTTCACTCTCTATCACAGTCCAAGCTCTTATCACTTTCTATGTGAATCATGTTTACCACATAACTCACACTAGTTTTCCTCCTCTATGCTTTTGCTTACGTTATTCCTTATGCCTGAAATGTACCCAATTTGATTCACTCAAATTTAATTCTCATCTCCTTCATAAAGCCTTCCTCAACTATTATACTGCATGTTAATCTCTCCCTTTCTCTCAACTCTGATTCCATTCATAGTCTGTATCATATTATTAAGCACATAAATAGTTTTATTTTTTTTTTATTTCTTCACATATATTAGACTTGTCTCTCTAACCATTCTGAAAACCCTTAAATGGCTGGGACCATATCCACACTTCTTTTAGTAAGCAAAGTGCTCAGTTAGCCTGTAACAGGCACTTTACAAATGACAGATTATGGTTACTCTTTCCTGAAGTCAGGGCACAATGGAAAGAGCACTCCATTAGGATTTGGAGGACAAAAGTGTAAGTCCTAACGCTGTCACTAATCAGCTTTGCAACCATGGACATGTTACTTCACTGTATCCTAATCTGTCAAATTAAGAGTTGTATTCAGTGACCTCTAAGATTTCTTCCAGCTCTAAATCTATGAGTTTCTGATCCTCTTTGGGGCCTCAGGTTCCTCGAGTGAACATAAGAAGAGAGGACTAAATGATCTCTAAGATCTCTTTCAAATCTAAAATTATATTAAATTCTATTAGTACACAGAAAGAGATGCTTATCTCTTGTCCTTAGTTATGTGGACTACAGGAAATTTCTTGACCCCTTTTTTCTTTCTATATAATTCATAAACACTCTATCTACTGGTCTGCTCTGACTTTTTTGGATAAATACTACTTATCATTTTGAGGACCACTTATTTCTATGCCTTCTAGTGTTTTTAATAGGAATAAATATCATGTTTTGTTAAAAAAAAAACTCTTTGCATCTATTGAGATAATATGTATTTTGTTAGTTTTGTTATTGATATGGTCAATTATGCTTATAGCATAGGAGCATACATAAAAATTTTAATCAATAAACATTTATTAAAGGCCTACTATATTCAAAATGCTACATTTGGTGCTAGAGATACAAAGGGGAAAGAAGGCCCTGTCCTCAAGCAGCTTACATTCTCCTCAAGGGGGTTAATGTGTATACATAAGTAAACACAAGATAATGAGGAGGTAGAGAACACTGACAACTGAGGAAATACAGAAGGTTTTCTATTGGAGGTGACATCTGAGATGGGACCTGAAAGAAGATAATGATTCTAAGAGGTAGAAGTAAAAAGGAAGTGAATTTTAGACGTGCAAAATTTGGCCAATAGCTGGAAATTCTGTTTGGATGGAATGCAATATGCATAAGGAAGAATAACATGAAATTTACTCATTCATTCAATAAACATTTATTAAGCACCTACTATGCGGCAGGCACTGTGCTAAGGGCTGGAATACTGCAAAGTTAAGTGACAGTGGTGGTTAGTGGTTAAAAGGCAAAATGGAGGTACCGAAGCTTCTTGAGTGGGGTAATGGATGAAAGTCAGACTTCTGCTTTAGGAAGATTATTTTGCCAAATGAACTGGCAAGGGGAAAGACAAGAAGAAGGGAGAACAATTAAAGAGATTATTTCAACAGCTAAGATGATAAGGACCAAACTAAACTAGTGGTTGTGTAATTAGCAAAAAAAAAGCAGATGCCTGCAAGAAAAGTTGTTGATACCACATCAATAAAACTTGGCAAAGTGATTGGAAATCTGGGGGAGGGAGTGGGGAGAGGGAAGAGTCATGTTTGTATGAGAAGAACCTGGGTGACCAGAGGGATACTGGGTGTGGATAACTGAGTTTTAATTTGTCAAGGCATGAACAACAGAAGGACAAGGGGTAAGTGATTCAATGGTAGAAGATAGTAATATTTAAACTGGTTCTCTAAGTGGAGGGGAGGCAATGGTGAAAAGTGAAGAGAAAGCTGGCCTCAAAACTAGGAAGGCCTGAGTTCAAGTTCCTCCTTTGACATATCCTGGCTGTGTGATCCAAGGCAAGTCACTTCACCTCTTATGAGTTGCAGAGAAGGTGTTGACCACTACCTGGTAGAGATTTCCTCATTAGGAGTTCCCACTCCAGTGAAATCACAGAGGTAGTCCAAATTACCTATCTGTAAGTAGATTGGTGAGTTCTCACTAACTGGAGGTCTTGAAGCAGAGGCAGGATGACCATTGGTCTGGTATATTCTAGTGGGGATTATTTTTCAGCTATGGATCATAGTGCATAAAATCCTTTCAATGAAAAAGTTCTGTCATTTTGACTAACAAGGGGGTGTAGACACTTGAATAAAATGAGGCCAGGATAGGCGTAACTAGATTAAAAGAATAGGAGGGACCAGACACATTAAAATTCAGAATCTTGATATACCCTGCCTTCAGGAGATCAGTCAATCAAACATTTATTAAGTGCCTACTATTTGCTAAATAAGCACCATGCTTACCAAGAATAAGGAATTTGTGGAATGGGTAGGAAGACAGGACTAATAGATATAGGAAGATTAAAAATAATTTAAGGTAGTAATGTAGAAAACATAAAGTAAAAGTGAAGACCAATAACAGGTTTAGGAAAAGCAAAGTAGAGGAAGACATGGACAACATGAGATCATGACCAGAGAGAGGAAGAAGGGCAGGAACAAGCATTTATTTAGCACCTACTATGTGCCTGGCACTATGCAAAATGCTTTACAAATTTTATCCCATTTGAATCTCACAACAATGCTGGGAGGCAGGTGACATTATTATCCCCATTTTACAGTTGAGTAAACTAAGTCAGACTTACCCAGTTAAGTGACTTACCCAGGGTCACAGAATTAGGAAGTATCTAAGGACAGATTTGAAGTGAGATATTTCTGAACTAAGAACAACCTCAGAGTTCAGGATCATGGAATTAGAAGAATTATAGGTGAATGGTGGTATAACCAACCATCTCTGTGGGTGGCTGAGGAAGACTAAAGATATAGGTCAGTCAGTCAATCAATAAACATTTATTAAGCACCAGCTATGTACCAGGTACTGTGCTAAGCACTGGGGATACAAATATGTAATAACAAAAATGTTCCTGCCTCAAGGAGCTTAGGATCTAAGAAGGAAGACAACACACAGTCAGCCCACTAGCATTTGTTAAGTACCCACCATGTATCAGGCACCATGCTAAGTGCTGGGAATACAAAGAAAGACAAAAGACAGGCCCTGATTTCAAGGAGCTAAAAATCTAAGAAATTGAGGAAGCCAATGACCTGGAAAGCCAAAGTGTGTTAAGGCCTCTAGAGTCACCTTTTTTCATCTTGAAATCAATCCATTTTTAGAACTAGAAAGGACTCCAAAGGTTATTTCATTCCAATCCCTCAATCTGCATACAAGGAAACTTAGGAGCAGAAAAGGCTGATTTGGTCAAGTTCATGAAGCCAGCTAGTGGCAGAGCAAAGGCTAGGACCCAGATCTTCTAGCTTTATTCTCCTGCCTGTGGTCCCTAAGCAGTGTCACTCTTTCCTTTCCTACAATCTCTTTGTGAGAGATAGTTCACCATGCTTCATCCTTCAGTTAGGTAATTCAAGTTATTGCGTGGTCATGAGTCAAACAAGACTGCCAATTCACCTATTAATTGTCTAAAAGCCATGAATGAAGGATGCAAGAATTCTTGGTCTTATTTTCCTTCTCACCTTACACTGATTTCCTAACTTCCAGCTTTTATCTCCAAGTAATCAAACCCTCATTGATAGATTATTTAGTCTCTTTGCAAAAGAAAACAAAATGTTTTTGTCAGCACCAAGCGCTAATCTCTAGACAACCAGTTGTGAAATCAATTTGTTGTACAAGGATTAATCTGGCACAGACACTTTCTCATGAAATCTAGAGAGTTAATGTTATGCTATTAAAATCACATTATATGCCTATATCCACATACATAAACATACCCACGAACATACATACACACATATAAACGTGTGTATTCCAAAGAACTTGCTCATAATTATGTTCCTTATCTGTAGTTATAAGAGCCATTAATCTCTGAAAGCACTTACATGCTTGATTTTTCAAGGGCAAATACTAACACCCAAAAAAGTACACAATGCAAAGTTTTATAAGTGGATGGTTGGCTAAAATAAGGACTTACCTTCAATCCTTTTTAAGGCTGAAAGGCACATATCCTGCCTGGGAAACTCAAAAGGATTATTGCAGGTTCGAATGGTGTCACATTCACATTTCCCATTGATAATGTTGCAGCCCATGATAAGGTTTTCATTGCATGGTTCAAAACCAAGCAGCTGGTCATCGTCCCAGTTTTCATCTGTAAAACAATTAACAGACAGATGGTATTTGCTTGTAATTTCCTTCATATCTATTTAAGATTGAAATACACCGTACTGTTAGTATCAAACATTTTAATTTTACTTTTCAATTATAAAAAGCAGTTCAGTTGAACAATGACCACAGTGAGAACAGTTGACTCTGACAGAGGCCTTAAAAAAGAAAAAACATCACTTTACACGGGCTTCCAGGGCAGAGCCAAGATGATGAAATAGAAGCAGCATCTCCAACCATAATTTAAAATATTTATTTAAAATATCTCAAATTAAAATCTTGAGTGTCAGAGACAACAAAAGGTCAGAGTGAGACATTTTTCCAGTCCAAGATGACCTGGAAGTCAGAAGGCGAGGTCTGTGACATTAGGGCGGAGGCTAGCCTGGAGTACATATGCCAGCAACACTAGCTGTGGGACTTGGGAGGACGTGACAATAGAGCAGCAACAGCTTCAGAAGCCCTCAACCCAGAGACAGGCAGAGAGGAACCCTTTCAGTCACAAGGGAACAGATGCCCTGTAGAGCAATAGCACTCTCAACTGCAAGGAATCAGGGGCCATCCCTGCAAAAGGACCGGAGCAGAACCACACCTCTCCCTGGATCACACCTCCTCAGAAGCACCAAAAACTTCCAAATTCCCAGGGCTAACTCTAAAAATGGCAGAATAAAAATGTCTGAATCTCGAGATAGTCCCCTCCCACCCAGGGGAATAGAGTCTAACCTTGACATAGAGTACAAAGTCAAGAAATAGGCTGAAAAAATGAGGAAACAATTAAAAAACAAAAAAGAACCTGACCATAAAAAGCTACTACAGTGACAGGGAAGATCATGACACAAACCCAGAAGACAACAAAGTGAAAACAGTTATAAGCAAATCTTCAAAGAAAAAGTGCAAATTGGATACAAGCCAAATAAGAACTGCTTGAAGAACAAAAAAGTGATTTTCAAAATAAAATAAGAGTAGTATAGGAAAAATTAGGAAAAGAAATGAGAGTTAACAAGAAAATTATGAAAAGACAATTGACACCTTGGTAAAAGAGACATTAAAAAATACTGAAATAACACCTTAAAAAAAAACATAATTGGACAAATGATAAAAGTACAAAGCTTCACTGATGGAAATAACTCCTTAAAAATTAGAATTAGGCAAACAGAAAAAGGTACAAAAGTTCACTGAAGAAAATAATTCCTCAAAAATTCCTATTGGGCAAGTGAAAGCTGATTACATGAGACATCAAGAAACAATAAAACAAAGACAACAGCATGAAAAAAAATAGAAGAAGATGTGAAATATCTCATTGGAAAAAAAACTGACCTGGAAAAAAGGTAGAGAAGAGAAAATTTAAGAATTATTGGACTACCTGAAAGCCATGAGCAAAAAAAGAGCCTAGACATCATATTTCAAGAAATTATCAAGGAAAACTGCTCTAATATCTTAGAACCAGAGAGTGAAACTGAAAGAATCTGCCTCTTGAAATAGATCCCAAAATGAAAACTCCCAAGAAGATTATAGTCAAATTCCAGAGTTCCCATGTCAAAGAGAAAATACTTCAAGCAGCCAGAAAGAAACTATTCAAATACCATAGAGCAACAGTCAGGATCACCCAAGACTTAGCAGCTACAATGTTAAAAGAGCAGAAGGCTTTGAATATGATGTTCTGAAAAGCAATGGAGCTATGAACACAACCAAGAATGACCTACCAGCAAAACTGAGTATAACCCTTTGGGGGGAAAACCGGACATTTAATGAAATAGAGGACAATCTTCCTGATGAAAAGACCAGAGGTGAAGTCTGAGGACAGAGTGAAGCATGCTTCTTAAATTTACTTTATTTTTCTTGCTCTTTTTTTGTCAACATGGCTAATACAGAAATACATTTTGCGTGACTTCACATGTATAATTGATTTCATATTGCTTGCCTTCTCAATGGATAGGAGAGGAGCTAGAGAGAAAGAATTTGGAACTCAAAATACTAAAAAGTCATTTTTTGAAATATCATTTTACATGTATTGTCTCCTTTGATCCTCATAAGAACCATGTGGAGATTAAGTAGAATAAGCATTATTATTCCCATTGTGCAGATGAGGAAATGGAAACTTAAGCAGATTAAATAACTTGCTCTGTCAGTAAACAGCATCGGGATTTTAATTCCTATTTCCTGACTTAAAATACAATCTCACTATATCATAATGCCTTGATAAGATAATTTTTTTTAAAAGTACTTTTTTTTTAAACTGGGGAAAACAAAATATATAGGCATTGTGCAGCTATGTATGTATAGTGATCCTTCAATCTATTCATTAAGCTTCCTGAATATATTGGTAAGTTTATACTGAATCATTCAGTTTAAAATACATGATTTTATAAAATAATCTAGTTTTTAATTCCTCTTCAATAAAATCAACTGAAAACTAAGACAGGAGTTACTATTTTCTGACAATATGACTCTGGAACTTAAGAAAGGATAAATTTTTCATACCATGTATGAAGTGAAGGCCTGTTTTTAAAACTGGCTTTTCCTTCATCACTGCTTTACCAAATATACATTGGACACAATTTTTTTAAAAAAAGGCAAAAAATGAAACAGTCTGGCAAAAAATAGGTTTAGACCAACATCTTACACAATGTACCTTACACAAAAAGCTTAGTTCCAAATGGATACTAGATTTAAATATAACACATTAACAATGCTGCTGCTGCTGATAATGATAGCTTTATATATCATTTTAAGGTTTGCAAAGTGTTTTACATATGATATCCTATTTGATCCTTACAACAACTTTGTGAGATAGGAGCTATTATTATTCCCAGTTTCCAGATGAGGAAATTAAGGCTGAGAATGATTAAAGGATTTGCTCAAAGTTACACAGATAGTAAGTGCATGAAGTCAGACAGACCTTCCTCAGTCCAACACCAACACTCTTATCACATATCATCTGCTGGCATCTAGAAAGAAAACAGATGGAGGTATGTATCCTTGACAATTACAGCTACTACAGGCTTTATTAATCAAGGGATAGAGAAGATGATAAAAGAGCAAACAGATAATTTCAATTACATGAAATTGAAAAGCATTTACACAAACAAAATCAATTCAGAAATGACAAGAAGGGAAACTGTCAACTAGAGGGGGAAAACTTTGCATTAAGCATCTCTTATAAAAGTCTGATATATGGGGGGCGGAGCCAAGATGGCTGAGTAAAAGCAGTGACTTGCTTGAGCTCCCCCCCAAACCCCTCCAAATATATATATAATATATATATATAAAATATATATAAATGGCTCTAAACAAATTCTAAAGCAACAGAACCCATAAAAAGACAAAGTGAAACAAATTTCCAGCCAAAGACAGCCTGGATGGTTGATGGGAAAGGTTTATCACACCGGGTGGGGAGAGAAGCGCAGTTCGGCCTGGGCACGCAGGCCGCAGCAACCCTGGAGCAGGCCTCAGAGAACTGAATCGCGGGCAACTGTGGCGGTTTCCAGACTCCTCAACCCACAAACGCCAAAGACAACTTGGAAGGTCAGTGGGAAAAGTCTGTGTCAGTGGGGAGAGAGAGAAGCCGGTGGTCTCAGCTCCAGTCCCCGAGCTCGGCGGGGGGCAGCGGCTGCCTCCTGAGGTACCGGCCCACAGACTGAGGGGGAATCCAGTGGCTGATCAGAGGGGGACTTCAGGGATCTCTCTGCTGGTGCAGGATTCTCTTGCTTTGCCCATGCTTGGATCTGGGTCACAGTTCTGGGTGGCGGTCCTGGGGCAAGGAGGAGCACTGGCATGGTGGAGCTTGTAGTGGCTGTGGAGAGGAAACCAGCCTCACAGTTCCAAGACAGAAAAGAGTGCTCATAAACCAGAGCACAGGCCAGGAAAGGAGTAAACACCTCGCCCTTGATCATACCACCTTGGAAGAACTGAAAATTTACAGGTCCCTAGAAGTATCTCTGAACACTGCTGCACAAAACTCCTGAAGCTTGGGACAGTACATTCTCCACACTGGAAACAGACTCCTACCTTAACAAAGAGTTTATAACTCAAGTAATTGGCTGGGATCATGAGCAAGCAGCACAAAAAGAGTCAAACTATATTATCTTACTTTGATGACAAAGATCAAAACATACAACCAGAAGAAGACAACAAAGCCAAAGCTCCTACATCCAAAGCCTCCAAGAAAAATATGAATTGGTCCCAGGCCATGGAAGAGCTCAAAAAGGATTTTGAGAAGCAGGTAAGAGAAGTAGAGGAAAAGCTGACAGTGATGCTAAAGGAGAACCAAAAAAATACTGAAGAAAATAACACCTTAAAACATAGCCTAACCCAAATGGCAAAAGACGTCCAAAAAGCCAATGAGGAGAAGAATGTCCTTAAAAGCAAAATCAGCCAAATGGAAAAGGAAGTCCAAAAGCTTACTGAAGAAAATACTTCCTTAAATATTAGAATGGAGAAATTGGAAGATAGGGACAATTTGAGAAATCAAGGCACTGTAACACTAATCAAAAGGAATGAAAAAATAGAAGAGAATGTGAAATATCTCATTGGAATAAACAAGTGACCTGGAAAATAGATCCAGGAGAGAGAACTTAAAAATTATTGGACTATCTGAAAGCCATGATCAAAAAAAGAGCCCAGACATCATCTTTCAAGAAATGATCAAGGAAAACTGCCCTGATATTTTAGAACCAGAGGGCAAAATAGAAATTAAGAGTCTACCGATCACCTCCTGAAAGAGCTCCCCAAAGGAAAACTCCTAGGAATGTTGTAGCCAAATTCCAGAGTTCTCAGGTCAAGGAGAAGATATTGCAAGCAGCCAGAAGGAAACCATTCAAGTACTGTGGAAACACAATCAGGATAACACAAGATTTAGCAGCTTCTACATTAAGGGTCCAGAGGGCATGGAGTATGATATTCTGGAGGGCAAAGGAATTAGGACTACAACCTAGAATCACTTACCCAGCAAAATTGAGTATAATCCTTCAGGGTAAAAAATGGTCATTC